CGGACTAGATGATCTACTCAGGTCCCTTCCGACCCTAGAAACTATGAAACTTTAAGGAAAAGGTGAGCTTGAACAAAACATAGCATAATTTCAAGTGGTGTAGTACTTGTACCAGTTATGGTTTAGGGTCAAGCTGAGTTTTCATGAAGAAACTACATATAATTATGGGAACATATTGGGAAGATACAGAACAACATATCAGTGGGTGCATCAGTATTGAGAATTGGAGTAAAATGGAGTTAGATGAGATGGTAAGGCTTTTGCTATTCTGCTCTAGTTAGTTTATGCCTAAACACAACAGGATTTAAAAGCCAGGCATTTCCCTAATTGATGACAACCTTAATTATTCACACATTGCCCTTGTTAGGAAAAGGTGATGTGCATCTCCTGGGCCCTCTGTTGCTAAATGAGTATTTCAACTTTTCTTTTCTTTTTGAAATAAAACCCTCCTCTCATTTAATTTCAAACTAGGAAGAGGGAACATTATAAAAATTGCAAAGTACAATTGACAAAACATGCTTAAGTTTTACGTGTAACAATGCAGTGTCACCACAGCCAAGAGACAAAGGGCACTGACAGATGTGCAGCTGCCATTGTAATGCATGGTGCTTCAAAGGAAGCACCCTGAGTTACAGCAACCTCCCCCGCCCCCAGACCCAACAGGTCCCCACCGCCCCAACTCAGCCTGCACTGGAGCTCATCCACCTCACGGGTGTGTGGGATCTCCAGTCTACCTGCTCACCCCCTCCAGCATGGGCTGGACAAACCCCAGACCAAGCTCCCTCCCTTCCCTTCCATTCTGAAGACAGCACCAGGGGCTGGGCTGGGCTGATGCTCCTGGCACAAACTAACAGAAGTTAAATGAAAGGCGCTCCATTTTTGAAGCACCTTCATTTGAACCCTCAGGTAATGAGGGTTGGTTTGTCATGCAGTCGGGCACTTTTAAAGCACTCTACTACATCTATGCGCTTCTGTCACGGCTGTAGAGTGCTTTCAGGGGGACAATCACAAAACAAAACATCATTTTTGTCAGCACCCATAATGATCAGGACCCTCTGATGAACAGGACTTGAGCATCAGTCTTTTCCTACAGGCTAGTTTAAGCAGTCTTCTAATCAGCATGCTGCCTTCTGCTAATCCCTTTCAAAGGCATCTATCTGTCCATGCGTTGTACAGGCAAGTCAAGCCATTTAACCCTGGTTGCGGAGTCCGCTATGCAGGCAGCACATTTAAACGTTACAAACAGAACTCTTTTGCACCTAGCCCTACAATGACTTGCCTTTACTGCACAGAGTACCTTTTTCTACTTATTTTTTTCACTACAGCATATCCCATGCATACAACCATACTTACAGCAGGTATATACAACAATTATTTTATTGACAACAGATCACATATGAACTTTGAGAAAAGAGTGAATATTAAAACATACCCAGCTCTAAAGTCTATTTTCTTTAGTAGAAAAATGTGAGCAACAGATAGAAAAAACTATATACACAGTATATTATATCAATCACACAGTTCATTCATTTGGGATATGTACTGTGGCACTGTACATGTGGTTCTATAAAACACATGCCACCTAAACAAACTGCTTTGAAAATGTTCCATAATGTTATCAGAATATAACATTTGATTATTGCAAAGAAAAATTCATAATGAACTACTCAAACCTATGCCATTTTCACATTAAAACCATTTACAGGTACCAAGTCATATGGCTGATTTTCATTATACACGTTGGTATGGCATATAAATTTGTATTTTCACATGCTTCACTCCCTCAAGACAAAACTAGGATTTGTTTCAGTTCTTACAGCTTATGACCTAGCTGAGGATAGTTTCTTGGTACTGCTCAGTACATGGAAATGTGTGGCCTTGTAATCAATATTTCTGTATAGAACAATGAACAGTACAGTATTCCCATATAGTCCATCTTGCACATTCTGAAAGTGAAATGACACTTAAGCATAGAGTCCAGGATCAAATGCATCTGTTCCAGGATCGAATGCATCTTTCCTAAAAAATAAAAACCTTCTTAATAAGCCGTCTTCTTCAACAGTGCTCATTTTAAATTGAACATTAGGTTTTTAGATAACTTCTTACCACAGAAGCTTTAAAAAGGGTGTAATCCCAGTAGTCTGAAACAAGATGTTTGTCCCACTGCATCTGAAGAGATCAGAAGGCAGAACAACACTTAAAAACTTGATATAGCATACTGAAAGATTCAGGTACCACTTAAATGCTGTCGAATTTTACAACATGCCTGGGAGGCAGGTTAAATGTATTTATATCCATTATCAAGGTGGAAAGATGCACAAAAGACTGCCTAAGACCAAAGTGGCAGACTTGATACTGCTATTCAGGAGTCCCTGGTGCTTGCTCCTGCACCCAGTCTGAGATTAGCTATGGTACCTTTTGTAAAAGGTAACTTTTAAATTGCTGGAATTAAAGTTTATCTGCAGATTTTGCAGGCAAGCAGCTTACTGTACAAATTCCAGGACAATCTCCAAAGTTCAGCAGCCTCCCAACACTTTGTAGAAAGGTAAAGATACAGAATTTGCTTTTTTAAGTCTCACTTAGCAACATGACAATCGAGCTATTCCCACTTTGCTTAGCCAGCTGCAGTACAGTCTGAAACTGGAGGCCTTTCACATCAACAAGGGCCCCATGTTTTAGTAGGATCTCAACTGTTTTCGCATGCCCACCTCTTGCTGCCAGGTGAAGAGCTGTCAACCCTTCTTCATCAGAATCATTTATGTTTCCTAAGCTGACAAGCTCCTCTACTACTTCAGAGTGTCCATTTTCAGCAGCAAGGTGTAGTGCTGATCTGTTTGCAGGGCCTTTGGCCAGAACATTAGCCTTTTCATCTATCAACAGTCTAGTTGTGGCTAGATGTCCACTGCGGGCTGCTAAATGAAATGCAGTATATCCTTCTGCTGTAACAGCCTCAATTTCTGCACCACGATTGAGAAGTAGCCTGGAAGTGCTGGTATGGCCCGTTTCAGCAGCTACATGGAGAGCAGTTTGCAAAAACGTGTTCTGGATGTTAACGTCTGACTGCAGTTCAATAAGAAGGCGGGCCACTCTGTAGTGCCCTCTTTGTGCTGCCAGGTGCAGAGGAGTCCTCCCATCCACTGTCTGTGCATTCACATCTGCATCTGAATGTTTTGCCAAAAGCTTGACAATGGAGAGATGACCTTGCCAAGCAGCATAGTGCAATGGCAACCAGCCATCCTTTCCCTTGATATCTACATTCACACCTCTTCTCAAAAGGATACGCACTATGTTTTCTTGGCCATGCTGGCAGGCTATGTGAATGGGGGCTCTTCCTTCAAAATCTACTTCATTCAGCAGGGCATTCTTATCAAGCAGCATTCTGGTGCTGAAGTCATCCCCATTCTGTGCTGCAAAGTGAAGAGCTGTCCACTGATCCTCATCTTTGGCATTCACATTGATTTTCCTTGCCAGAATAAGCTCCACGATGCTTCGAACCTTCTTCTCTATAGCCACGTGCAAGGGGGTAGACCCTTTCTTATTGGTGAGATTAGGGTTAGCATTATAAAGGAGCAGCCACTTGACACACTCTTCTTGACCTGCCTCAACAGCCAAGTGCAAGAGGCTGGAGTTTCCATCTAAAACAAGATCAACATCTTGAGGCTGGAGAATCTTCATTAGCTTGCCTGTGTCTCCAGCTAGAATTGCCTCAGCCAATTTTCTCTTTTGAATATCTGTCGTGTCAATATCTGGATGGAGAAAGACAGTATAAAAATTCTGTTAGAGCCAAGAACTATATTTACTATACTTAGGTGTTTCAGTTATTAATACAGAGGTGCAATTCTCCCTCCAATTAACACTTATGCTTTAAACCAGTGGTCTCCAAAGTGGGGTGCAAGATGATTCATTGGGGTGTGGGAAGAAAATATTAGCACTTCTATTTATATTTAAATAAATATACATAAATTGGGGGTGTGTGCTCAAAAATTTTTTACTGATAGGGGTGCGTGATCAAAAAAGTTTGGAGACCACTGCTTTAAACCTCACCTCCCTATAGTATGTGGATGACAGTTTAAAAGTCAGACTTGAAACATGCTGTTCCTAGCCTCTCACTCATGAAAGCAGGAATGGAAGCATGGTGGGATAATAAAATGCAGCCTCTGATCTTCCCCTGACGCTGCAATGAACATCACTTAATTTAATCCAACACTGAAATACCAATCTTGGTAGCACCAAGTAGGAGTGGGAGGCTACTAACCATTTAAAAACGAACAAAAAAAACCCAGAAAAAAAATGAAACTCAGATTTTCAGAAACTGTGCTTACAGTTGGGTTCTTAAACACCTCAGAAAGATTAATTCAAGCTAGAACAGGTACAGTAATGGGCTACAAGGATGTTTAGTAGGGCTGTGCGAAGCTTCAGTCGCTGATTCAATTAGGCGGAGATTTGGCCCAATTCGGTGGCTGAATCTCCAAATCTGAACTGAATCAGGAGACCCTTTAATCTCTCTGAATAGAATCAGAACCCTCCAAATTGATTTGGAGAGATTCAGAAAAATTTGGAGGTTCAGACACAGACAGCTTTAAATGTTTTTTCTATATACCTCGCTCGTGAATGCTGAGGTGGATGGAGCATCACAAGTGAGCATGGGGGGTCCTTGGCGCGCTTGGCAGCAGACCTGGAAGTAGACCAGAAGCACTTCCAATACACTTCCGGGTCCGCCACCAAGCATGCGGTGGGCCCCTGCGCTCCTGAGGGACACTGCATTTGCCCCAGCATCACAACATTCACAAGCCATGCCTGGTACCTCAGGGTATGCAGAAAAAACGTTTAGGCCAAATCGCCGATTCTTGGAATCAGCATTGAATATTTGGATTTGGCTGAACTGAATCGGGACAGTGATTCAAATCAACGAATCGAATTGCATTCCCCCAGTTCAGGCCAAATCTGAATCCAAATTGAATACAGCCTGTTTCACACCCCCCTAGTATTTAGGGGAGTGGAAAAAACTTACTTAATGGCTGGAGATTGACTTGTTTATTTTGCAAAACAAAACAAAGGCTGACATGGGAGACAGTTACTAATCTGTGAGGTCAATGTCAGAAATATTGTTCTTTTATTTAAGTTAAAGAACAATGCTGGCACAAGATCTAGATACAAACAATGCAGGCTACAAACTGGTCACAAAACAAACTCAGACTGGAAATTATAAGAGTAAAGTTTTGGTTTTCTAAATGAAACAGTTGTCAAGGAACTTTAATTGCTTTCAAGACAGAAGGGACAGTATGACAGGACAGAGGCACTGCTGCAGAAATAAATCAAGAGTGGTATGTAGAACTGAATTTAATATCATGAGGAAGGGTTGAAATCTCCATCTCCATGAAGATGGGCTTCTGCTGGTCATCTGTAGTGGCCAGGAAGAATTTCTCTTTCCCCACCAAGAATGCATTATTGTTTAGCTTCTGTTTTCACCAGCATTCACATTAACACCACCGCCTTCCTTTGAAGCACTGGACATTGACCACAGCCAGGGTACAAGAGTGCATCTCCTCATGCAATTAGGATCAAGCCAACTGCCAGGTCTGGGGTCACCAATAAATTTTTCCTTTGCCAAATCTGATTTGGGAGACCTTTTTTTTTTTTTTGCCTTCTGTAGGAGGCAGCCATGGTCTTCTTTCTAACAAGTTTCCTGTCACTGAAGTGGTAAAAGAGTTGGTGGCACCCTTGCTCTTTACCTGCAGCTTGTTGTAGGTTTCTGAAGAAGGGTGCAATAGGAGCTGGAAGGGATGTGGATGTTCGTGTGGAATCTCTCCAACAAAGTTCCTTCCGAATAAAGGGAGTGGACTTTAGGGTCTGGGAGAACTTTCCTGGTGTCACTTGATTTTATTTTCCAATGATAAGTAATAACCCCAAATCTATTAAATTCTATTTAAGTACCCAGATTTAGGCATCTATTTTAGAAAACTGTCAACTTTGTTTCAAAGTTCCATGCTGCTTTCCAATTTCAGCTTTAGGATTTCCTGAGCATTTAGGTGAATAAAATAACAGTGCTAAGGCTATAACAGAGTTGGTGCAAGGATTTGTGGACTGATTTGTAAAACAGCATTCCCCAACCTTTCTCCATGAATACAGTTGCCAAGGCTCACCATTTCCAGAGTTCTCTCTCTCAAAGGACAAAGACAGGGAACCTCGAGACGAAAAGGCTGAATCCACAGAAGAAATTCCTGAAAGTCTCTTGTCACTGGAAGCAAGTTTGGACTCAGAAGAGCTACGGCTCAGCTCCTCAGGGCCTTCAATTGTCTGTGAAATTCCCGAATCCAGCTGGGACAACAATTCTGAGAGGCTGTAATCCTTAGCTGACACCGGAGCGGATGCTCGTTTTGCCTGGGATACTGCGTGCCTTCCCTTCAAAAACAAAAAAACCCACACACACTGACTTTTAGAAATGTTTGGCTCCCCATTTGGGGGTGGGAGAAGGGGGAGGACTGGTAGAATGAAATCCAGATTTAAGCTCTATGCTTAAATAAAAAAACAAGATTGTACCCAGAAGAGGACAGATACAGGATGCAGTATCTGTAGGAAGCTCTCAATTCGGTTGCTTCCTCCCATCCTGTCACTTTTAATATCAGACCTTTCCCGCTTCAGGGAGTTCACTCTCATGACCTGGACCTCCTCAGCACCCACTGTGTTCTGGTGCTGTAACCACCTGTTCTCTGTCCTGCATGACACAGACTGCAGGAAAGGCCAACATGGAGAAGATGCCCACTGAGAGTTTTTCTTTCCTTATCTGGCCTTCTAACATCTTTCTGAAGCAATTCTAGTATTCGCTTCTCCCCCATTCCAGCTCCATCACGTCATATCACATTCAGAGTTTTTAGCTTTCACTGCAGTGCATAATTTTGCCCCTCCCAAAGCAACCCACCCTGCCTTGCTTCTAATCACAGAAACACCTAACTCCAAAACCCCATGGCTGTTATCTCCCCATCGCAATTGTTTGAAAATAAGTTTGAAATATACTCACTGAAAAACACTTTTGCCTGAAAGACAGTGCTGAGACAACAGCTTGGAAGAGTGATTAGTAATTATAACAGGGTATGTAAATCAAGAGATCCTTGTACATAAAAATCTGCATGAAAGGGAAAAGTAAATTACCTCAGAACGTAGTTCTTGGGAACGCTTGGTGTCCAGGTCCTGGGTTACAGTTTCCTTTGTTTCATCTTCTGGTTTTTCATACAAATCCTCTGTTTCTGAAGTGATTTCTTTAAAGATGCAAAAAAGCCTTTTAATAGCAGTTTGAGATTAACATAACATCATAACAGCAGCAGCAGAGATAAGGTTTTATTCTACCCAAAGAACACATATCCTGAGATCTTTTCTATGTTGTCTACCATCAGATATTCTGTCCCCTCCTGTGTAGATGTGACAGCATAACTAAGCCTTCATAGACACCAAATCATGTATTTGTCTGAATGCCAATGACCAACTATGGACACCCTTTTGCAAAAAAATGAAATAAGTGAAATAAGATGCTGGACCCCAAGCCAACAAGATGGATGATGGTAACAAGTTTGTCACTACTGCTTGATCAGATTTAAGTACGACTAAGAGGTAGAATACTCCTTGGCTTCAGTTAACCAATCTCCTATAGTACAGGTAGGTGTAGGTGTGTGGAGCGGTGGGGAAAGGAGGAAAATTAATTCACTCATGCAAGCAATTAGCATTAAACAATCTGAGGACAATTATGATATTCTCTTGTGCATCTACTATTTGGAGCACTTTCAAATTTTGTTTTGGAAAAGCTGAAGACTAAGATCAGGGTTGTGTCATTACTGCCAGAAAGAATGAAAGATGAATCAGTTGCATTAAAAAAACCCAATCTCTTTGTTGAACAGCAGCAAGCAACAGGAAAGCAGGGTGTCCAACACTCCCCGACACCATGCCAAATCCCGCCTTGGCCAGGATGTTTTTCGGAAGTGAACCTACTTGCACTCCTCCTAGACAACACATCTGGGGATTAGCCAGTTCAGTACAGCTCTGACTTCTAAAATGTTTACATGACATTTTATCATGGTCAGACTTGCCTCCATATAATCCCTTCCTCCACATGTGAATATTGCCTGTATAGCTTCTTTACTACACAACATACTATTTTCTCACTATTGCCTGTGGGATTTAACCCAGGAATTAATACAGTCCTGAGCAATGAAGTGACTCACAAGAGAAATGGGCAGTTGGATTACCAGAAAATCTTACCTTGAAATGTTGGCCGCTTACTAGGATCATCTTGCCAACACTTTTGCATCAGTCTAATCAAGTTATTACATGAGCGAGGTCTGGATTTGGAAACGGTAGGTAGTTCTGGGCGGTGGCCTTGAACTACTTTGACCATAATATGCAAGATGTTGTTTTCTTCTGCAGATTAAAAGGACATAAAGGAACACATCTTAATAAAATGACAGTATTAAAATTTTCTTTTCTTTAGTACAAGTTCAATTTATTCACTGTAAATTTGGCTTTCATGCTGTTGTAAGTTCTAGAACAAAATTTTTTGACCTTGGGGTAGTGAACCAGTGGAGTGGGTTGCCTATGGAAGCGGGAGAATTTCCATCATTAGAAGATTTTAAGAACAAGCTAGATCTGCCAGGAATGGCTTAGGTATAGTTGATCTTGTGGTACAGCCAAGGGATGGATTAGAGGATCTCCTGAGATTACTTGCAGCCCTATTTTCTGTGATTCTCCAGGTTTGAAACATATTTCTAAGACAGTACGAAAAATGTATATTTTAACTTCAGGAATGAGACACAAAATACCCAGCGACGTTAGTTTTTTTAACACCAGTTAAATGTCAGTGGATAAGGGCACTTTACAAAACTTGAGTTAGAGAGAAATACAGCTCTGGGTTACTGTTGCTGGGACTCTTACCTGTTCCTCACACTGGGTGTGTCTATACGTGCATTAATGCACCATTGCTACTGCACATTAAGTTTAATACCTCTAATATGAGGTACTAACTAAATGCGCAGTAACCAGCGCTACTGTACAGTAGCAAAGGTGCATGGTCTGTATGTGAAGATTAATGCACAGTAGAATAATTCTACTGCATATTAGTGTGGCTTTTGCCCCGACACACTAAGGCACAATAGAACTAGTCTGCTGCGCATTAGGCATCTCATGTAGACACGCCCACTGTTAACATAAAATTTTTATATAAGCAAAAGCAGCACTAGAGAACAGCCATAAAACAACAAACTCGAGAACCGTGGTAACAAAGGGGGACAGGATCTAGCACTTGATAAAAATAGATGCTTAGTGAAGAGTCAATTATACAGGATGATTTTTTTAGACATTTGAGGGGACAGCCATGAGTAAGCTGATCTTATTTATAATGTAGTACATTCATCATGTGCTAGATACCACTATTAGAAGACAGACAACTTTTTAAAAACAGATCTGCATCCAGGGTCTACAACTGCAGAGAGGCTTTTTAGTATACAGCTTCTGCAGACACAGTTTGACAGGTGGTTCTGCAGTTTGCCATTTTTTAGGGGCTACCAGAGGATGCATTTTGAATTCTCACTGAGCTATGCAATGACTTTAGACAGGCACGGAAAACTTGCATCAATGCCAAATCCTCCATAGATAGGGGATAGTTAATGGTCTTATGGGTTACACTTCCAAAATATGCAAAGATATAGGACTACTTTCAAAGCATGACTGAAATATATGAAGTCCAAACCATAATAAAGGGATCAGCAGCACACATGCTCTAGAAACTGAGAAGGCAGAAGTTGCCTGAGACAATCACTTTTGAGTATGGGTTATGAACCTGGAAGTGTTTAAGAATTATGTTTTCTGTTGCACACATCCAAAATCTGAACCTTTTGAATAAAAACACATTGGCTTACCTGCAAAAGGCTTCTTTTGTGTGAGAACTCCCCAAACCACGATGGAAAAACTGTCAAAAAACAACATGTGCATCTTTAAATAAGATTTTAAAAGAAAACACCTCCCACCCCAAAAATATCAAATCAAAACTACTGAAAATAACACAAGATGGAAATCATTGAAGTAGAGTACAGGTAATAGGCAAATGACTATATATAATGAGATGGTTTGGGGCCTAGCCTATGGATACATGTTTTAATAGTAGTTAACATGAAAACACAGGTTTTACAGGAAGGTATTTAACTGTTCATACAGAATGTTAGAATTGTTTTCATTGAAAACTCAGTCACTAACTCAGAGTGCAGTAGGGAATTATTGGACCAATTTTGTAAACTTCAAAAATCAAAACTAAAGCCAGCCCACAGTTTAGTCTCGTTTGTTTAGAACTTAATTTTCCTAGTAAAAGTAAACAGAAGCTGGTACTAAAGGATGAAATCCAGGCACCAGTGGAGTCAGTGGCAAAATGCTCACTCACTTGTAATAAGCTCAAGATATGGCTTTGACTGAAAGTCTAAAAAGCATATAGAAAGGCACTCTTAGGCTTGTTCCTTTAAAAAAAAAAATAAATAAATAAGTGCAATTAAAGAAACCCATTAAATCACAGGTTCTAAAGGGGTTTCCACAATACTAAAAACCCAGGATCTAACACTTTTATTATTTTAGGTTCTTATCTTGATTTATAATGATACACATTCATGTAAAATGTGCAATTTGTTAACAATACTACTCAAAAGAAAAAGAATCTTAAAAACAAGTAAAGTACCAAAGCTTCAATTCTGCATAGGCTTCACTTAAATTGGAGCACATTCATAAGCCTGTCTGTAGCAAAGCCTGGACCACTCTCTCCCCTCCCCCCCATTCTCTTTGAAATTGAACAAGACACCAAAGAGCTCAGCTCTACCATTCTGTATCCTTTAAACAAGCTTTCAGATCTATGCCCAGATGACTGACCTGTACACATCGTGTTTTGTGTCAAAGCATCGGTTCTTCTCCTTTATACGCTCTGGAGGCAGGTATGCTATAGTGCCACATAAACCATCTACACTGAGATCATGGGAATGTGAGAGGCCATTGCATTTTGCTAGTCCAAAATCAGAAATCTGCAGGGATTAGAACACAAACATGCCCAACAATGAGATTCCAGATTATTTTACCTAAAAAAGCTAATGTCTCCTCCCCTCTCTTTCAACTACAGTATGAGCTTTCTTGTCACAGCCTTTAAATTAAAGCAAATTGCCATTTGGAAACACTTTGCTACTAAAACCTCTAAAAACAATGATGCAGCAGAGTTGTATTTATTCTTTTCTAGGTAGGCTATTAGAAAAGTTAGTAGTTGCTTCATGAAGATTAAATGAATCTTATTAACTCAAAAAAGAGACACTTTAGTTAGCTCATACAATTAGCATGTATTTATGACATGTTGGGACAATTTCACACGATTAGCCATATATGGACAATACAGTCTGCATATTAATGCTATGGTCACCCTTTTCCCCTTCAAGTAAGAAACAACTGGAAAGTGTTCTGCATGCTTCAGAGTCCTGTTTCTCAGCTTGGAGCAAGCCAAGTCACAAAAGCTGTGTGGAGAATGCAGAACCCACCCCCCCAAAACCTCTCCGCCTTATCACATATAGTACAAATTCCAGTAACCATGTCTCTATGGGTCAAACATTAACAGCATCTGGAGACAGGCAAGAAACATTAAAAATAGCAGGGAACTCTTTTTGGCAACCAGTGCATACAGCAAGTTGGTGCAGCAACGCAGTGAATCCAGCTGAAAGGAACAAAAACAAGTGATGGCAAGTTCTCTTTTAAAAGGACACGCCTCCAGTTTAATCTGAAGTGTCAAACAAATATGCATTCATTTGTCCTCTAAAGCACAGCACAGTCAGAAAGCAAACACACAGAGAGAAAGCATGTTTCTTGTGGTACTTTAATATTTTCCCAGCTGTTCTAGAAAGCTCAAAAATGTAGGTCCCCCACTGTTTTTAGGTAGACACACCACAAGGTGAACCCCACACCCTCTCCAGACGTCATTCTGATCCCCTTCCTTGACCAAATCTGTGGCTCTGCCTTCTGATCCCTGCTCAAATGCTGCGATCCCTGTTCCCTCCCTGATCTGCCACATGCATGCAGCCTGTGTCACCTGTGGCACATGTACCATGGGTTGACCACCCTTGTTCTAAAATATGGAGGACAGGGAACAGGAGAAGATTTTTCAAGAGACTCTAAATGATTTTCATTGGTGCTTTGGAAATATTTTGTCCACCTACACAACATTCCCCTTCACGCAAAAGGCACCACATCTTCTGGTGACTCTTTCATCTAGCACCTTTTGTTCTTTGTAGCATCTCCCTTGGAAAAAGTTTCAGATGTACCTCAAATCAATAGGTCATATTATATTTATAAAAATTCTTTGAGATTCTGACTTTACAGCAGGTTTTATGGTTTCTCCCCAATAAAAGTCTCAGAAGTCTAACAAAGTCTTTTAGATTTTAAACAGAAATTTCCCTCTGGACACAAGGAATCAAACAGACACTCTCACTCCAAAACTGTCTGGAGGCATCATTGCTAGAGTGAACAACTGCCATCATAATCCACCATAAGATCTAGCACAGCAGTGGAGTGTTCCAGGAAGGAAGGAAGAGATGTAGACCAGCAGGCACATACTTGTCAGGGTCTGAATTTCAAAAGGTGCTAGGCACCTGCAGCACCCCAAATTGCAGGATTCAGGGATGCTCAGTGCTTCTGTGCATGCTAGCAAAATAAATACGCCCTTCAATTCTTCTTTAAAGCAATCCAGCTGTCGCAAGTCTGAACAGAACACTCTTGGCAGAGCTCTGGTATTGGGTGACATATTGAAAAGTAGTTAACTGTTCATGTCTGAAGTGAGCATGGCAGATGAGCATTTTAAAGCTGTAAAGCAGGGGTGTAAAACTCATCCGGCCCCATGAGCTGGATCAGCCCCACAGACTGGCCTCATGCACCAGAAGCAGCACACAGGGTCAGGCTGGTGCAGGCACTTCATGCAGTGCATGCCCTGGAAAAGCCCCACATCATATATGGTGCATGCCAACTCCCATTCAGGGCTTGAGGATGGAGCTGGCATGGGGTACATGTTGCATGCAGCACCCATCCTGGACTGGCCTTATGCACTTTGACCAGCATGCAGGGCTGGTCTGTGAGCCCAATCTGGACCAGCCCCGAGGCCAGCAGTGTGCTCCCCGGACCAGCCCTCTGTGCTGAGTGCATCACCCACACTGCCAAGTCTAATTCGGTGCACTGCATAGTGTGCCCCAGACTGGCTCCATGAACAGCATGCAGTGCCAGGGACCAGAGCCAGTGCATGCCCCATGCAGCTTTTAGGGGTGGTCCAAGACTGGCAAGCCAGATTGTAAAGCTACACAGACCAGATACAGGCCATATCTTTGACACCCCTGCTGTAAAAGTAATAAACTGGCTAAACAAGTGCAAGACTTTGTATCATTTAGTATTAGTTCAGTTAGAGGGGAAAATACAAACAGCACTCATGCATGAACTTTGGTGCTCAGAAGGGGAGCTTGCTAAAAGAGGCGATGCTTCACCCTTTCTGTACAGATCCTTGGGACAGCCAAGGCAGAGGGAGTGACTCAAAAATCTACAAGCAAGATTAAAGGTTATTCTTTGAACTTACAAAAGCAAAGAAAAAACCAAACTGGAACAGGACAGTGCACTCTGGTGCATGTGTTGTAAACACATACACTGGCATACCTTAGAGAGACAATACAAAGGAATCAGATTTGTGTGGACTAAGAAGGGAATTTAACTGCAAAGTTGCCTGGTGTGTGCCAACATATCACATATGGCACTGAAAATTAAGGTACTGTACCTACGTGGCATATTCTGGAGTGAGCTTTTTTCAGGTTCAAATCAGACCTTCGAAGTAAATCAGACTCCTGTGCTTAACAATACGAGTCATACAAGTGGGAAAATGTAGTCCTCTAAAGCTTTTTGATTTTCATTAACTGTTTCCACACACATTTTGTAACCCATCATTTGTTTTGTACACATTAAGGCAAGTTTGTGTGTGTTCTTAGAAAGGATCTCTTCTAAATACCAAATGCACAGAGACATCTGAAAACTCTCAAAAGTATTTGCAGATTGCACCATTGTTAGAGGAATTCTTATTCCTCCTAAGTTATTTCACCGGGCTTTCATCTCCAAGTGATTCATAAGAAGTCCATAACATAAGCACAGGTAAAATGTAGCTACAACTGAGGCAGAGAGGATAGATTCCTGCATAGTGGGAGGTGATGATGTGAGGGGAAAAAAAGAAAAAAAAACGTGGCCCAGTTTCTGTATGGAGGCCCAGGATTCTTCTTACTTAGATGGCTAATAACATCTTGGCTTTTAAATTTCATGCCAGAAGAGCTATACAAACCATTATGCATGCAGTATTTATAAATGCTGTTTTGCACCAATATTACAACAGCATTTACTCCTGAAGTTGAGAGCATCACATTATTTCTTTTCACCCAGGTTTCGATTTCTTCACAGACCTTAGACACAGCATTTCTTTGATGCTTCATCTTGCAGATACTTCCATGCCAATGACCAGTATATAGCGAGCTCATTTGCAGCATTCAGCATATCAGTTTGGTCAAGCACAACCTCAAAATCTACTGTCATATGGACGTGCCGAAGACAGCAGTCCCCAAGCAAAAGCAAGATGCATGGCATATTCATTTTCATCTACTCGTTACATTTGCACATAAAGCTCATTTTGCTCCCAGCTACTTCAGACTCCGGCACTAAGTCTGCAAAGTAACAACCAGCTTATCTGTATTTCTCTACAGCATATGCTACACAAAGCACACTGGGGAGTGAGAGCACAAAACGCTTTCCAACTGAACTTGTGCATTATTTTTCTGTGAACAATACTGAAGGGCATCCAGGCACCAGTTAGGTTCACTGCATCAATCAGGCACAGGGTGCATAAGAAGTTTGTTTTTTTAGTTATATAATACAAGCAGACAAGATTAATTATTAATTTGTGCTGGCATGTTTGGTGCTTCTGTCACTGGCAGATGTCGTCACATACCTGGGCAGGTGGAACACTGCCATGTTGTTCTTTGTTGACTCTTCGGAAATGAAAGGTATTTTTAAAAACCTGTACTGTATTGTATGGGTGCGGTGAGCTGCAGTTTGGAGGTAAGAAAACTCCAAAGTTCAACCTTTTGAATTTCTAGGGTAGTGTCATACTTGACAGGGTTGAAGCAAACTGATGCATCAACTAGTATAATCTGAAAGTGTTAAAAATTGCTGGTTTAGCCTTTGAGGACACAAGACGGGAAATTTCTTGGGGAAATGAAACAAAACGTTCATTCAAAAATGGTATTAGACCTTCCTTTTAGGTTTTTCCTTCATATTCCTTCTAAAGACTAGTAGCAACATCATTTTAAACAAGCACGATTGTTTAAATTGCATGTTAGGCAATATAATGTAAGGGCCTGTTTTTTCAAGATTCAGTTGCAATTGTCTGTAATGTTACAGAGAAGCACGGATTGGATAAAACTGGTTGATTACAGCTCAAACAGTGAATGAGGCTAGCTTCTCTCAAGATACACTACTGCACCAAGACGTCAGAAACACAGATTTTATAAAAGGGACTCAAATTTACAATTCCCCTTTCTAAAAAGGTGCTTTTTAAGTAACATATCTTGAAATATTGAACATTTTTCTGTTACATTGTTAATAGTTAAATGTTTAATAGATCCTAGAAAAGAGTGACCATGCCCAAAGTAAACAAAGAGAAAATGGGTCTAACTTTTTCAGTCCTAATGAAATACTCATAGTAGTAATTTTAAGACAGAAATTGCTTTCAAACCAATTGTGTTCTTCTAAAGTTCTAACCTCTGCAATGTCTGCATTTGTCAGCGATAAAAAGCAAAACTGAGTTGAAGGGGGAGCTTAGGGCAATAAATGTATTGCTGTTAGTCTTATCTGAAACCCTTTGTAAAAGAGATCTGGAAGTATTGAAATGAAAAAAAAGAAAAAAAATTGGCAGGTTGTAATGGCTGAATCACAAATACCAATTAGGATAGAAAGGAGAATCCAGAAACAGACTGGCAACAGAAGCAGAATGTTAAAAAAAAAAAAAGAGAATTAGCCTGGAAAAATACAAACTAATAATACAGGGAAAAGTGATCTGAAACACGGATGTGTAATGGGAAGAGAACTCCTTAGAGACAGTGGTTGCCAGCAAGTTAGACATGGGTATTGCAGCACATGAGGCTAGCTGGCTTCATGGAAGATGAAAAACAAAAGTTACCAGAAAGCAACTTGCAATTTATTGGGAAATCAGAGAGAAGCTTAAAACAGCTAATTGGATGTACTTCAATTAATGGAGGAACTGTGATAAACAGTCTATAAATATTTGAAGGATGCAAATAATAAAAGAGATTGGAGGATTATTTAGGTGGGTACAAGCCTGCAGAACTAGGATCAACAAGTTGACATTAAGAAAAGGATAGTACAGATTGATACCCAATGACAAAGCCCACGAGAACAAGAAATAGTTTTCTAAAGGGAGTTACAACAAGACCTTCATCTGAAAGTGAACCAATGCCATTAAGAAAAAATGAGTCTTGGGAGTAATCTTGTGATTGCAGAGAACAGGGTTAACAGAACTATTATGCCTTTCTGACTATCTCCGTTGACACTATTTAGAGAAGTAGCATAAACTGTAAAAATGCTTAGCAAGGACTTAACAAATTTTGACAGTAAAAAGGTGACAAGACATCACCCTTGATGTGTCTGCAATATGTACATTTATTCCCTGTAGTTATCACCACCCTTTTAATTATTCCCCTCCCCACAAATAATAAAACAATTCAGCAAAACTATTGCGCAAATGCCCAACAGACAACTTTGTGGAATGGAGGCAGCAACTTGATGACTAATGCAACAGCACTGCACTGAAGTTACTATTATCACCAGCTGGAATTTTCAAAGTAAATCTTATGCTTGTTAAGAGAGAAGGATGCATTTGCATTTTAAGTGGTGGTGGGACACAGCAGCTTTTCCAGCTCACTCTGCTTGGAAGCTGTTTGTTTTTTGGCTCCAGGGCAAATACTTGGTAGAGAACCTCCCCTCCACCAAAATGTTAGTCCACTCTTCTTCAGCCTGTTCACTTATTTTCAGATTCCATTAGGAGCAGGTCACCTGCTAATTAAACTGCCATTTAAAAGTAAGAACATGCAACTCACACGCTTTTGGCCATCAAAAATATAGATCAAATGAAGCTGCAGGATCTGATGTTCAATAATGGGTTTGGCTCAACATAAAAGGGAGCTTTGAGTCCACATTTTTAGAGTAAAGGAACTCCAAAAAACATGCCCCCCTGTGCCCCACTTGTGCAGAGATGCATCACCATGTATCGGCACTGCAGATGCCTGGAAGATGCAACATTTAGCCCTTTATGTCCCATCACAGAAAGGCTGTGATCCAACTGCCCCCAAAGGCCTTGGGAGCTGGCCAGGGTATTCAGAGTGCCAATTCACTGAGCAGGAACAAAAGTATATTAGGAACATCAAACCCTGACCACAGTGAAAAGTGCAGTCTTCACACATGCCTCCCTTCTCATTCCATCACCACCCAAAATCTATGCCAATACCAGTTTACCATACAGCCTCTTGGTAGCCTTAGACAGCAAGAAAAATATAAATGGGGACAGAATCAAGCTGTATGAGGGAAAGCTGAAGGAACCAAATACATGTGGTGGAGAGAGCGGATAGCAGAGACAACACATGATGGCAGTTTTCAAATATTTGAAAACTGCCATCAAGAACATGGAGAAAAACTGTTCTCCCTTGCCAGGGAGGATGGGGTAGGAGACAACAGGTTTAGAACTACAGCAACACAGATTAAAATCTCAAGAAAATCTTCGTAACTGGAAGAGCAGCAGGACAATGGAAGAAGCTGCCTAAGGAAGCTGTAGAACCTCTTTAAAGCTTTTTAAAGAAGGGCCTGGAACAGCATTCATCTGGCACAGTATAGGGCATAGGCGACATGTAGGGAGGGACACAGGGGGGCACGTGCCCACCTGAGATTGGCCCTTGCTGGCCAGGAAGTGGGGGTGCCGAGTGAAGCACTGTCTGATGCCCCCCTGAGATTGACACCAGTCCCTGAGCAGCTGATCGCAGACCCTGTAAGCGCAGGCGGCAAAACCGGAAGTGCTGGTGACCCCCTCCGGTTGGCAATCAGCCACTGGTGCCCCCTCAGATGATTTAGGGACAGGACATTTTGCATCTGTATGGAGTGTTGCAACCCCTGCACATCCTGTCCAACTCTTTGTATGCTGTGAACCTCCAGGCAAACCAAGAATTTGGATTTTAAAAAAATTAAGTTATGCAAAAATAAATTATCAAACCAATTCTTAACAATAACCACCAAGCATTTTGTAGGCACAAGGCACACTTTGAATAGCAGAAATTGTCTCTTTCACAACACCATCAAGCCACTATACTACAATCTGTTTTTCATAAGGAAAATCCCCCCACCAGAGAGCCAACAAGTTGCTTAGCTATAATAGAGATCTGAATGCTTGCTTCACGTCTGATTTACCTAAAAATGAGTCTGTTATAATTCTGACTCTCCAGCCAGTAGGAGTTCTCCCCTGCCCTGAATTTAAACAAATCTGATAATTCTGTTGTAAACAGAATTCAAGCCGGGCTTCTTGTAGCACAGCAGTATGATTTTCAGAAGACCTGAATTACCACAACTCTCCTGGAAAGTTACTGAGAACTTCTCATAGTCATCATCACCTAGAACCTAAACAAAAAAGTCATCCCAGCTCACTGCTCACATTCCAGGCAAACACATTAGGCTCTCCTGGTATTGGGAACAAAACGCAGTTTTGCACACACTTGTCTGCCTTGTAGTTCTTCTCTCCAAGAGTTGTGCTCAACCCAGAACAAAGCAATTCAGGAACTGATGGATTAGAATAAGCTATTTAGTTCTGGAGGGGGATAGATGAGCACTTAAATATTTCTTACACATCACCTGATAACCACCAGTCAGCCAACCAGTTCATTGACTTCTGCAGATCGGACTTTGAGAGTTTTGCCACGAGCTTCAACATTGCCAGGATCAGGCCCAAAAGTTATATAACAAACATAAACCACAAATGCCAAATAAAAGAAAACTCACATTTTTACAGAGTGGATGAAATAGCTAGGAACACTTCCACAAAAGAATAACGCTTAAATTTTGTGTGACACTGAGCTCAAGAAGAAATTTTTATTTATTTATTTTAACTACTGAGCCCATGAAAACCTCTAAACATGAACTTCTTTGGATGTGGGTGGCAAGAGGAGATTTATTGTTTCAGATCATCAACTCCCAACCAAGCCCAGGGAGAAGATTAGTTCTCTACAACCCCAGTTAATTTTTAGCTCATATTCTAGCTCCAAGCCCATGAGCATAGACTAGAGCAGGGGTAGGCAATGTTTTTTGGCTGGAGCGCTGAAAAAACTACCATGTCTACCTTGGAAGGTGCAGGAGTGCTGGCATGCCAGAAAAACAAAATGAGGACAGGGGGTACATGGCAGGATGCACTATATATTAGTATAGTTAATAATCATAAATGTTGCCCTGCTGCCCTCCCCCAGGCCCTCTGCAGCACAGCACGTGACCCAGAGTGGCAGCGCACAGAGCAGCCACACAGGTAAGCTGCCTGCTGCTGCAATCTCCGCACTGCCCTGGCCACACTTCCGCTGTGTGCACAGGGGCAGCAGCGCAAGGTTGTGCCCCTTGCTGCTGCCCCTGCCTGCAGGGGAAGTGCGGCCAGGGCAGTGGGGAGCTTGGAGCAGCAGACAGGTTTCGTGCACCTCCCTGCTGTGCCCTGCCACACTGGGTTTCACATGCTGCTCTGCAGAGGTGGCAGGGGAGGGCAGCACAGTGGGGAGCATCACCAGCACCAGCTGCTTCCCAGAGCCCGGGGCTGGGGCACAGCTGGGGCGGGGAGGCAGGAGCTGTTTGCAGCCTCCTGGCTGCAGCTGGCCCAGGCTCTGGGGTAGCTGCTGTCAGCCATGGTGGCAGCAGGGCTTACAGCCTTCCAGGCGCCTGCTGGGAGCAGCCCGGGTGGCATGCCGAGCAAAATGGCCTCGTGTGCCATGATTGGCACGCGTGCCGCAGGTTGTTGACCCCTGGACTAGAGTATATGAACAGTAACAGGATCCCAAATGGAAAAACCTGCTAAACATGTGCTGGGAAAGATTTTGGAATCTGAACTAAGAGGTCCGCATTCCACAGCCCTCTTCCCTCCATCTGCTCTTACCCTGCTTCTCCCCCAACTTCTGCCATTCCCTGCCAAATCACAGGAAACAGAGATTTGACAGACTCTCCCTCAGACCTCAAGAACAGAGATTTTTTTGTTGAATCAGCTTTTAGAGGCTGATTGTCTCTCTTTCTACTTCAAAGGGAGACCTTGTTAAGTATTGTGGAGTTGGCTAAATACAATTAAGTGAGAGGAAGATTACTCACTGAAGCCAAAGACAAGCTCATTTTGCAAATGTGTAGGTGAGCATTTATTTTGAATGCTGAGATCATGGTTGTGCCTTTGTGTTAAGCTTGTTCATCCCCCTTGTAGTCGAGTCATGCAAAAAACTCCCAGTGACAGAAACAGGTCCTAACAGTTGTGTGAATACCAAGACATACCTTGACGTGATAATGGGCATCAAGCAGAATGTTTGCTGGCTTGAGATCCAGATGCAGCAGAGGTGGTGACATGCAGTGCAGGAAGTTCATACCCACAGCCGTCTCATGGATGATTCGGAAGCGCAGTTCCCATGGCAGCGGTTCTGAGGCCAGGAGTTTTTCCAGTGATCCTGTCTCCATATATTCCATAACCAAGCCAACTGGTTCCTTACAGATGCCATAAACAGGAAGGATATAGCGAAATTTTGCCATTTCCATCTTCTTTGCTTCTTCCAGCAGCTCCATCCGCTCCCTAGGCCAAAGAGAATAATGTCATCCAAGGCATGGGTTATTCCTACCCACAAACATAACTTTAACACACGGCAATCCAACTTCCAAGCCACTGGGAACTTCACAGGCCTCCCTGCTGCCCAGCATAGCAGGCACCTCCTGCTGGGCTGGATCCCATGGGCACCCCCACTTTGTACCAAGACTTAGGCCGCGCTGTGCTGCCTTGATCCTAGGAGTGGGAGCATGAAAGAGAAGCTGAAGGAGAGAGGGAGAGCCTGAAGACCCCTGTGGGAGTAGCATCTAGACCGCAAGTCCAGGGCTTTTGCATTAACTCCTTGCTGGCTGCATGTGGCCTGCAGGCCACCAGCCTGGGAGCCATGCTCTAACAATTAGCCTACAGTACTATGTGATGCATTTCAGAATCTCCACTTGGAGATCAGTAGTTATCCAATCTCTGCAGCTAGCATTAAATTCATTTGTCCATTCTGTTCTTGCTTTGACAAAACAATTTTAAGATGCAGAGATTTACCACTGCTAACTCCCTGGGCTACAAAAGCTATCTTTTTGTGATTCACATGATAAAAGTTAATCAGAAGCAAATGTAGACAGATTGCTCCAATTGCCTTGCTACACACAGGTTCCCAAAGTCATCTGGGGAACTGGGACTAATCTGAAAAACCACTCCCATAGAGAAGGAACAGATTCCAGTTATAAATTAAATGGACACATGATAAGCTCCTTTCCACCATGGACTATGCTCAGTTAGTTCACTAAAATTGACCCAACTCAGGCAGCACTGAAAAACAAAGCAAAACAAAAGTTACACCACAACTGAATGCCTATATTGTGTTTCCAGAATAATCCCAAGTAAGGAGATCAATAAATTATTTACAAGTCACGTGGAAGCCTGATCTGTGAGGTGCCAAGTACTGACCTGTAAGAAATGAAGATTTTCCTCGACTCCCAGATCAAGACACTGATTGCTTACAGAAGGAGAGAACAAGTGTCCTCACTTAACAATGAAATAATTCATATTTGCTTATTTGGAGTCAACACTAAATTGGAAGGAAAAAGAGTCTCCCATGGCTGCCTACAAATATAGAAAAGCAGTCAGTCATGGGGGAAGGATAATAATTTGATCCAAAAAAAGAGATTAATGAGAGTAAGACAGCATACTATACAGATTTCGCTCGTGGGTAAGAACAAATCAGTAAGTCTCTGACCAGCAAAACAAAGAGGTCTGAAAGTCAGAGCCACATGCTCCGAGAACTTTATTTTACAAAGACCCTTATAACATCTATAACAAAATTCTACCAGCTCTGCTAACTGCTGTCTTGTTCATCACATCTGTCAGCAAGGTCCAACAGTTTAAAAAAAACAAAAAACTCAAGGGCCAATGCCAACATGGTGGTTCACTAATTTAAGCACCGACTTGAATATAACAATATGCCAATTCACATCATGAAAGGAACTGCCTTAAGTGTATTTGAAGCAGCATTACAAAGAGTGAATCTCATACCTTTATTCAGCTGCTGTTTTGAAAGATTAAGGGTCAGATTCTACTCTACTGATTAGACATCTAAGTGCGATTCAGCCCTGCCTGAATCTGTGGAAAACAAAAAACCATTAACTCAAGAAGGAAGTGGGTCCTCCTCCTTCATCACTGGTTTTTGTGACTTAAGAATAAGATGAAAGTGCTTTACAAAAAAACTGTTAAGTGAAGTTCTTTAGTAGCTCTAAATCCTGTTTTGGTTTTACTATGCTGAGGCTGAGCTGAAAATCCAAGGAGCTAGAATTCTCTGGCTAGTGCTACTGCACAATGACTAATTCAGTGTTGCAGAATTCAGAAGCTAGCTGAATTGAGCAAGATCTCCTACGGCAAGATTTTAAATTCAGCACTCATAGATCGAGCACAGAAAAATGAAAAGCGTATTCTTCCTGGGAGATTAACAACTATATTCTGAAGACAATTTAGTACACCAGAAGGACAGGTCAACCACTCTTACCATGCCCAAGGTATGTATTGCTACATTGTTATAAACCATCATCTAGGCAAAAATAAAAAAAGTGATGTTGACACTGCAGTCTCTCTCAACAAAGACTGGCGAGTCTAGGATTTGGCTAAATTATCAAAGTATAATTCTTTTTACGCCATTTCCAGTACAAATGAGTGCTCATGATCACAGCCTTAAAAATCCAGATTACATGGTTTGTAGAGTACAGGACTCAAAACAGATAATCTCCGACCACAAAATTAGATATGGTCAATGACTCCGATAAACAAATTTTAAATGCCAGCCACCACTCTTCAAACCAGGATTTAGATATTACAACTTTTCTTTTGATTTAAAACTTAGTTCAAATGCTATTCCCCGTGTAAAGGGACCGGAAAGAATTCCCTTCAGTCCCAGTGGGAAAGGTAAGTGATTCAACATTAGTCAGTCAAAGCGAAGAATGGAATCAGTAAGAACCCTGATTTAACAATCCGGTGCAGTACTGCTGAGTGAAATGAGTGAATCACATTTACCAGGAAGAAGAAAAACAACTTCATAGCCAAGGAGTCTAGTTCTTGTAAAGACTTATCTGAAGAATTCTCCACCCCCCATCAAAAGGAGGGGGGAGGGAAAAAAAAAAGTGTTTCTTTGTGGGGAAGAGGAAGGAGAAGTCAGTGGGGGAGGGACCTTTTCCCTACTCTCCAGGTTGGCTCCTGTTGCTACTGCCTACAGCAATTTTCCTCTCAAATAACTGCCTTTGTAGACAAGCACCCAGGTTGGTCTTTGGCACGCTAGAAGGGAGTGCCCATGAATAGAAAAACCAACTCCTTGCCCCCAAGCCACATGCATAGCCAGCATAATTCACCAGGCTTCATCTGGCTTTGGAGACAGAGACACAAGATCTGTCTGAATACGACAGGGCAGAGTTAGTAAGAACCCAACAATTATTGAAACATGCACACTACAGCCATGGTTTGAGCTATGGAGTTCCTTGGTTAACAGAGGAGTCAGAAGGTATACCAAGTTCATAAAGGTCAAAGACACAGGATAGAAAACTAACACTAAGCTACAAGAGAGAGAGGGAAGAGGACAGTAGATAGGCCATCTTCAATGACTGAATTAACACGCTATATGATGGGCTTCTTTCTAGTTAACTGGGACCTTTGACATTCCTTAAAGTGGTATTTGACCTGCTTAACTGTCTTTTTCCAAGATAGTTGATCTCTCCAATCCAATATGGTCCCATTCTTCCAGTTTCTCTGAGGAGAGAATGGCATCCTCATTCCTTACTCCTCTCCAGGAGAGTAGCAGAGGCCAACTCTTATCACAACATAGGCCCACACTCAAAAAACCCCTCAAAAGCCAACCGTATGCCATGTACCAGCCAGGTCACAAGACAAAGATGCTTCAGGGACTGACAGCGCATTGCTCTATTTATATACAGAGATCTCTATACATCTTACAAACTATAGGGTCAACCTGATAAAAAGATATGACCTAGAAAACACACAAGCCACTTCCTTCTCACATAGTTCCTGGACCAACCCTACTAAAATGATCATTGCAATTTTACATCCACTTCTCTTTAATGCTCCTCGAAAGGAGAGAACTAAAAAAAGTTAGTAATTATTTTGCATGCTGATCTAGAGAGAAATTGGGTACTATAGGAGACCCACTTATTTGGGACCCCACCCTCCAAACTTTGCAGCAAGGAATACAAGTAATCTCATCAAAGCAAACCAGTCCTTGGTTGCCCAGTGATTCAACAGCAGAATATTCAGAAGCAACTTTTCTCATATCTGCACTTTGCATATTAACCCTTTCCCCTGCGTCATGCAAAAACATGCACTGCTGAAATAGGTCTTCTTCCTCTACCTGCTTAAAGGTTTCTATATAGATTTTCAACAAGAGAACACTCTGAAAGGTTTGGACACGTAGAATATGTTGCATTAGTGTCCTCAGCAAGGAGGACAAACAAAATAATGCAGTTGGGTTAGTGCATGTTTGGGGTAAAAAGCATCCCCTTATTTAGGCAAATGCTGTTCAGTGTCACGTACAGTGGTAGATGTAAAGGCCTCAAACCTCACAGGTTCAATGCTGTGTTGTAACCGCATCCCCTGGGCTGTCAGGTGAACATTAGTCAATCTCTGGATGTGTGAATGGAAACTAAAGGGATACCTTCATTCATCTTTAAGAGCCAAATGGCACAATACTTCTTAATTGCCCACATACAGTTTCTCAAAGAAGGGAGCGAATTTTATTTTCCCCAAAAATCACCACAGCTACCAACATCTTCAAAAACAAGCCTGTTCCAATGGATGACCTTTTCATTTCAGATGTTTGTTATATTTGCATTCATTTCTAGGTATACAAAGACATCTTACCTTTCTCCCTAGGATCTCTCACAAGTCCACAGAGCCAAAATTCTAGCCATAAATCTAAAAGAACTTGTTTAATCCACCGTTCCCCCTTCAGGCCATCCTATTCTGCTTTCCTTTGGCCCATATACACTTCTGAAGTTTTTGCTTGGGCTTCCATCAATTCTCTCATCTTTGCAGAAATGGAATAGCATTTGGTTCAGTCCTCCTTTCACTTGCGACTGTCTAGCTCAGCAGTAAGAAAACTACTGAAGTACCTCCCCAGAGACAGAAGTACAAGAGAGACCCATTACAGTCCACTGCTACACAGCCAAGTTTTAGTTTGGTACCAAGCTAGTGAAAAGTATTCTACATTTCTGATGTTAACTTGGTATTTTTAACACCAAGTATTACTAAAATAATCTGAGAAATAGATTGGCTCAATTGAAAGGTTGCTAAACTGTGGATTATTCCAACTAATTCAAGATAGCACTCAATCTGTGAATTGAAGAGAGTCGCTAGGTGCAGACATTCAAAAAGCTGGAGGCAGAATCAGTCTTAGAGTTGTCCTTAAGCAAGTAGGTTAGATCAGTAGCAAACAGGACACACATTCACCCTTTGGTGGGGGGAGCAAATCTAAATCTAGGTTCTGCCATTTTTAAATTAGTCTG